TATAAGATGAAGGCAGCTTTAACGAGATGAAAAGGCTTAACTAGAGTCCAATTAAATTCCGTATTACCTGTTTACGCAGCCTGCTTAAGTCCTGACCTGCACGCTGATTTCCTAAGGCTCCAAAGCCCGTGCTCTAGGCAGAAAAATAAAATCAAAGGAGTCAGATAGATACCAGATCACCAACATGTCCTGAGCATCCCCACATGCTCATACCAGAGGCAGCTGCCCTCGAGTGCCTTGTGCTGTGAGGTGTGAGATGCAGCCAAAATCCTCCAGTTCGCGCTTCTGGAGAGGAGAGCGAGGGCAAAAACATCTTGAGCCAAAAAAAGCAAATGTGCAGCCATCCTTAGTTTGGTTTTAGGTCTGTGCCATGAAGATATTTTTGCTGTCCCCATCTTGCTGCCGGGTTGATGGAGGCTGGGGGTGACAGAGCGACCGGTGCTGGTGGTGCTTCCCACGAAGGGAGCATCCGCACTGCTGCCTGCCAGCGCCTTGCACCACTGTTTGGAGGCTATTTTTATTTTAAAAAAAAAAGGCATTTGGTGAAAGCCAGCCACAGGATGCTGGGGCGAGCTGTGCAGCTGCCTGTGCGACCCGAAGCCACTCGCCCGGAGCGTGCGGTGGGGACGCCGGCTCGCGTTTAACAGCAGAGTAAATACCGCCCATGGGAACCTGGTTTTCATAGTTAATAGAAACCATCGCTTGTGTTGGTGAAGCGTGGCGGGTTTGGGTGGGTGGCAAGCTGGGGCTCAGCTGATGCCCTGCCACCCCGCAGGGTATCATCTTGCCATGATGCAGGGAGCCTCGCAGGGCGGGCTGCATCGGTGTGCAGCACCTTAGCCCACTGTCGCGACGCTCTTGGAGGTGGCTCAGGCTTGTCCAGCAATGAGGATGAAGAGGAGGAATCCTGCTGCAGCATCCCGAGGGCTGCCGTGCAGACAGCGCATCCAGAAAGCTCCCCAGCTTCCCAAACCTTCCCTTGTTGGGTGCTGCCTTTTATCCCCGGGGGTACCCTGGGGCTGGGGGCTGCAGCGTGCTGTCGCTGGCGGTGATTGCGGCCCGCCAGCTCTGCGCTGGCTCCTCTGGTTTTTAAATTCAGCCCCCCAAACCCTCTCAGCCTCGGTGGTGCCTCACAGCTCCTCTTGGTTCGAGTCTGCCACAGGGCGGGGGGCAGGAAACGGCTCGCCGCACCCTGCTCTCAGCAAACCTTCACGCCTAGCAAAGACCTAAACTGCATTAAAGAAAGTAAATAAATAAAAGCACCAGTCCGCAGCTGCTCCCAGGGCTGTGGGACCAGTGGAGGTGAGTTGTGTTCTCGGCTCAGCTGACCTGGGTAAGCAAATTGGGGTGATACCCAAATGCTGGCGGGGCAGCTCAGGATGCTGGGGCTGCTCCGGGGAGCTGGTCGTGCAGCCGCGCCGGTGCCTCCTCCCTGCCACTCTGAAATGCAGTTGATAGAGCAGAATAACCTGGTTTCTTCCTAAGGATTAGGTTAAGAAAACAAGATGGTTTTAATAGCCCTTCTACATCCTACTTAGATTTTAGCTGAAAAACCTAACTGGTTTGGCAGCACAGCCAAACAGCACATCTTTTCTTTTTCTTTTTTTCCCCATTTTAACCTGATGCCAGCGGTCGCAAGCGGGCTCCCACAGATAATTCAAGTGCCCAGCTCCCGGCTGTGCTGTTCTGTCCGATTTCCATTGCCTCCTGACCTCCATCCTTCTTTATTTGCAAAGCTATACTCGCAGGCAGCGGTAATAAATCAATTAATGACTCTGATGAATCGTTTAATGGCTGACAAAATAACACTACAGTCAACAGCTTGGATCTCTACAGCAGTACCAGAAGACGCTGGTTGACTCAGGGTAGGGAGACGAAACAGAGACTGTTAGCTCAATTAGTGCAATTAGTGTGCGATTTAAAGGCTTAGACGGCATCTGCTGGCGTACCGAGCCGGTGTGTTAACTGAGAGCTTCAGTTTGGAAGTGAAACACGGCAGTCCAGATTGTCACTGCTCTGCTGACTTCCACCAAAAAAGGGGAAAAAATCCAACCTCTGTGTGTGTGTGTGTGTGAAATATATATGCCTGTGTGTGTATACAGCTATATATGCCAGCCCCAGGAACTAAGTTTAATTTCCAGCATGGAGCAAATTTACCATCTAATAAAAGGCAAAGAAGCCGGCACGCTGGCTGTGCCAGAGCTGTCCTTGCTCATCTCCAGCAGCGGCCTCCGGCGTGCTTTGGTGGAAGGAAATTTGGGGTGTCTCATGCCAACGGGGACCTTCGTGGCTGGACGTGCTTTCGGTTTAGCGCCGAAAGGCGGTGGCAGAACGGGCTTCATGCTCCTGCACTGCACTGGTGCTGCCCGTCTCCTGTCAGCTTCATGGCATCTCCACCTTCCCTGTACCTGCGCCGGGGGGCTTGGGGGGTTTTAGGTATTCACCCAGTGAGAGGAGCTTGGCACAAACTCCAGCTGAAATCTCCAGAGTCCGTAAAAAGAGTTTCTGAGCCAAAAGGGTGAAAGTAAGCCAGGTGAGGGGAGCTGGGAGGGCAAGAAAGTCCTAATTTTCTGGAAACAGGTGCTAGAAAGCCCTTGGGGTTTGGGTGCTGACCGCTGGGGTTGGGTCTTCAGCTTCAGGGTTTGGGAAATTTGTTCCCACTGTTGTTTTTTCTTCTCTTTTTTCTTCCTTTTCTGGTGCATCCCAAGGGTTTTGCAGAGCTGTTGGAGCCGTGGCTGCTCTCCCGTTGCTTCTGCGGGGCTAAAGGTGCCTCGGTGTTTACCTTAGCAGCGGTGATGGGGAGGGGAATAAAAAAGAAATAAAATGTCACTTCGCAGCCTTGTAAATCATTCATCAAGGGCTGACCAGTTTGGCTCCCATCCTACAATATGCTCAGGGCACTTGTGGGTTTTTAATTACCGAGTTCTGCCAAGCGCCACATGTGCGAGGAACTTTATAATCCCCGTTTATGCTGTGAAGGCATAGGTGAGGTTTCGGGGTGTTTAACACAGAAAAATACTTTGTGGTTTTGTGGAAAAATAGGCATTTGCTTCAAGATTTTCCTTGGCTGCTTTGCCCCTCTCCCTCCGCTCCCTGTTGCGGAGGGAAGGAGGAGGGCAGTGTACTTTTCCCCTTGGATCCCCAAATATGTGTCCATCCTCACTCCCCACCTCTTTGGGATCCATTTCATTTTGGGAGATTCCCCCAGCAAAGGATTATGGTGTGCTGGAAATCTCTTGAAACCATAAAATATCACCTTGGCAGCTTTATTGCAGCGCTTGCCGCCTTGGGAGAGAAGCGTTTTGCGTGATAGAGGGTTTAATAAAGGAAATTCCAAATGGGCTCGCTGCAGTTTGGGGCTCGGTCTTAGATATTTTTGCATTAAGAACCGTCATCTGCTTTGCAGAGAAACTGCAATATGTTCATGGCCTTGGATTAAGATTTGGTTTTACTTTTATAGCTGACCCACTTGGGGGGATGGAGGGAGGGGGAGAACTGGGTTCACTCCCTCTCCCGTCTATTTTTGCTGCTGTCTGATGTATAAAAAGAGCCTGGAACGGGCAGGCTTATTTTTCCTGCCAGGACTTTTTTTTTTTTTTTTATTAACTGTAAAACCACTCAGATCTGGCCTTTGCTGTTGATGTGGGGAAAGCTGCTCAGGATGCCTTGCTGAGGGGCACGGGGGGAGCATGGTATGCGCTGTGCCTGGGGGCGCAGGACCCCGTAGTTGCAGGGGGACCCCAGTTATTTTGCAAAGGGGGTCTCATTTTGGGGAATCAGCCTGCGCTGTCGTCTCTGACACCTGCAGCTCTGAGGTGCTGGGGTAGGAAGAGGAACCACTCATCCAGCGTGGTCCTGGCCTTCATCCTGCACCCTGCACAGCAGCTCCTGCCGAGGAGTGTGATGGAGGGGGCACAAGGCAATGGTTAGCCTGATGCTCACCTGCCTCTGAGAGGCTTTCTGGCCTGGAATAGTGAGATTCCCAAGCAAATGTGGGACTCCCACTTTGGCAAGCCTTAGTCCTTAATGATAATCCTTAATTTTCTGGAGGGAGTAGTTCAGTGATCCAAACCCAATTAATATCACTGAGGGTCCCTTGTAACTGATTGGGAATGGGGGTTCATTTGATGATGGGTAAACAAGGGTGCACTTCAACAGCACAGCTATCACTCCTAACCCAGCAGGGATGTGAAGCTCTTTTTCTTACCATTTTCCTTCTGGGTAAGAGCCTGCCATCACACTGGTGCTTTCCCAAGGCTGTTTGGTGCATGCTGCCCTTCCCTCAGCACTGCCAGAGCTGCTCCTTGCACTAGGAAAACCTCATTTGTCTGTCAATGTACATCATGGAGAGGAAGTAAATACGAATAAAGATGCTGAGCAGGAGCAAGCGGGGTGTCCCGGTTCCCCATGTCTGCCCCCATCCCTCCTTTTTGGGACTGAGCCGTTTAGGTGGCTCATCCTGGGGAGGCACGAGGGGGAGTGTGACCTCACAGATTGGGTGCAATGAATTTGGAAATTCATAATAAAATCTTAGAGTGCTGGTGAGGTCGGGGAGGCATCTTTTTTGGAGAACTGAACTGATGAGCATGCGGGGGGAGGTGGGGTAAGAGAAGCATTTAAAAAGCCTTAAAAGAGCTTCTGCCTGAAGTGACGCATTGGCTGAGGCTCCTCAATGGATTAACGAGACTAAATGCCTGGGTAAATGAATAAATAAGCCCCAGAATTATCCCCAGGTTTTGTGCAGCCATCTTCTCCATGGGTGAATTGCAGAGGCCGGTGCCCCTCCGGCTCCGAGCATCCTCTGCTCGCTCCCCAGCCGGGGGAAGATGCTCAGGGCATGGGGAGCAATGCTTGGGACATGGGGAGCGATGCTCGGGGCTCTGGAGGTAACAGGCTAATTGACTCAGTGTGGTGTGGCAGGAGAGGTGGCTCTTTTAATGTGTTTTTTTCTTAACTCTGGTTCAAACCCACCATGTTTTCCCTGGTTTTGTTCCCCGCAGAGCGCAGCTGCCGCCCCGAGTCCCGTGCTTGGAAACATTCCCCCAAACGACGGGATGCCCGGGGGCCCCATCCCGCCCGGTTTCTTCCAGGTAGGCTGCCGCTCCTCCCGATGCTGACCTCCACACCACGCACGTGTTTGCTCATGCTCTGGGTGTCAGCGCTGTTGTGCTTGTGGTTTTTTTCCGAGGGGATGCTAGGGAAGCAGCATGCCCACATAGCTGACCTATCTAGGAATAATTTGTGTTCTGCTGTCCTTTCACGTTTGCTTTCTATTTTTTTGTGGCCTTAAAGCAAATTTCTTCCTTGCTCGAAGAGGTTACTGTGTATTTACAACCAATGTTTTTTTCAAAAGCTGCTTGGTTTGTGTTTGGGTTGGGATTGTATCTGTTCTCCGGTCCTAACAGACGTGCATAATTGAAAACATTCTGGATTTTGATTCCTGAAACTTTTTCCCCCCTCCTCTGGTTAACCACTTGATTTTTTCCAAATGCAATCACTGAAAGCATTAACAAACGCTGGCTGTGGCTGCAGGCAGGAGCAGGCTCCAGCCAAGTCCCCGAATGCCATGGAGGCACCTTGTAAGCAAATACCTAGTAAAGTCCCCAAAGTCCCCTCGCTCCTTCCTTCTCCCGCGCCGAGCTCTGACTGAGGAGGGGGTAACGTATGTTTGGAGTGACGCTGATGGAAAGGATCTCGACAAGCACACAGAAAAGTAGTTTTCAAAACTTGAACCGTGGGGATTTTTTGGGGTGTCTCTGGAATCTCTTTGCATGGCAAGAGCCACACTGGTTTGCAGCGGCATAAGCTCTCGGTGCATTAAAATCTTCCTTCTTGAGGAAGAAACACTTGTTCGTGTAACAAATGGGATAAGAGTTGAAAGGAATATTTGTTTTGGCAGGCTGCTTTTTTGTAATCTGGGCTTGTGATTTGTATATGGGAGAACTTCTCAGGCAGCAGACAGGCGGACTTGATAAGGCGCTTGTGATTTATTGTGGCGATATCTGAGCCCGATATCGCCGTTTGCGTGTGTGTGGGAAGGGGGAAGGAGGGTCCTGTCTTTTTTTTTTTTTTTTTTTTTTTAAGAGAGATCCCATTTCCTGAACATGCTTCTGACAAAGTAAGAATATCCGATATTGATCGGGAACCCTAAAACAGGCGAATCTTGTAGCAGCGCTCGGCGGCACGGGGTGAAGCCAACAGCGGAGATGCTATCTCGCAGGTCATAGCTGCTGCCAGCAATTCGAGTGCCAAGCTGCTGCTTCCAACAAATGTGTCTCTAAAAGTCCTGATCTCGCCCCACAGTGAAGCTGACTGTCCTTTGGGGCTCCTGCTTCACACAGAGCTGCGAGGGCTGCAAAACTGGCATGAAGTTAGGGCAAGGCTTCAAGAGTATGGTGGGTTGGCTTTTCCTGAGGGGGGAAGGTGAGGAAGAGGAGTCGCATCTCCCCAGACATGCTGTGCATGCTCACGTCTTGACTCTTCCCGTTGACAGCCTCCAAGCTGTCCCCCCTGCTTTCCTTTCTGCCCTCCTGTAGCATTTTTGCACTGAGAGCCTGACTCAGGAGCAGACAACCCACCCCAGCTCCCTACCTCTCGTGTGGCTGGTCCAGGAGCCTTTGGGGAAGGGGGTGCTCAAAAGCAGCCCTGTTTTCTTACGATCTTTGGTGGGGGAGGTCCTAAAAACCCAGCAGAAGTAATAGCATCAGTGCAGGTGGTGTGTGCGGGGAGGGATGCTGCCCATCCCCGGAGCTGCCGGAGGGCAGAGAAAGACGGGTGTCGATGCATATGGCTCGCATGTGACATCTCAAGAGCCTGCCTTTCCTGAAAGCCCTCCAACATCTGGTTTCTCCTCCCAGCCCTGGGGATGGAGGGGAGGAGGGGAGAAGAAAAATCCCACCTTTTAACACAGTCTGAACATCACCTCCATGAAAGCCCTTCTGATTTATTGCGGGTGCTGGAGCTCATTGCAGCTTCAGGAGATGCTGGAGACCAGCTCCTGCAGAGGTGGGCTGAAGGCTCGGCAGCGAGCCGGTTGCAGCTCGGGGGGGTAATTTCCTACCTCTGTAGGAAATTAAAGTGCTGAACATAAGAGAGCAAAACCAAAACAGTCACAGGAGATGAAAAGGACTTTCTCCCCAATTCTTGGTGTGCTAGCCCTGGGGGAGTGAGTGAGGCTCCTGGTGGCACCACCTCAGCTGGTGCCCTCCTTATAACCAGGAGAGCGGAGGATGGAGAGGGCTCAGGGGGTTTTAGCATCTTGCTCTTCCACACTGTACTGCAAGCCCCAGTGTCCTGCAGGGGATATCCTCGAGGGTAGCAGGCATGGGCAGACCTTTTTTGAGAGGGTTTAGAGGACCTGATCCTGTCCTGACATGGTGGGGCATCGCACCAGGAGCTGAGGAAGGAGTCACCAGCAAAGCTCAGGATTCAGAAACCCCATGCTGTTGCCCTGGGTTTGCGTGAACACCCCCAGCGCTCTGCATTCAGATGTGCATGGCTGTTTGGCAAAGGGAAAAAATCATACGGACAATTCCTGGGAGCTAGTGGCCCAAAAACCCACAGGAGTGAGCTTGGAGGAGAATTGATGGGCTGGGAAGGGGAGAAGAGAGGAGGAGTCCAGGCTGCAGCACACGCCTGCAGCCGCCGTCTTGCAGGGAGAGTCTCTTCCCCACCCTGGGGCTCAGCAGTGACCTTCGGGCTGGGGGCCAAGGGAAATGCAGCCCCCACAGTCTCCCAAAACCTTCCTAAAACGATGGGAGAGGAAAGGCTCTGAGCACCTTTGGGTTGCCAGGGCATTGCGTGGTACCAGCCAGCGGCACAGCGTCGGGCTGCGCTCTGGACAAAAGGTGGCTGGGTTGACGGCCAGCGTGGATAGATGCTTTTATTTAAATCTCTCTCTTTGTCCCGTTGAGATGAGCAAACAAACCCTTTGCTCATCTTCCTAAAGGTCATCGGAGGCGTTCCTGCTTTTGTTTTGAAAGCTGGATTGATGCCGGGGTGCAGATCCCTCAGAGGAGGGACAGGGGGTGCCAGGGAAATGCAGGAAGGAAAATTAAAAATTGAAAGCAATTAATACCACACCTTCTAAACACTAAATAAACGGAGGAGGGGGGGGGCTCAGTCAGCAGCCCCCCACCATGGTCGTGCCTCCTCTCCCTAGTGCGAACTCTCCGCGCCGCCCCGTACCCCGCACGCTGATGAAATGGAAAGTTGACCATAAATCAATGTCGGCGGCGGCGTTAGCTATGCATCAGCGGCTCGGCGCCGAGATGCACCAAAACAAAGCACCGGCTGCTCGGTGTTCCCACACTGCCCCCTAATGCAGAGAGACCTCGGGAGCCGGGGAGGACGGGGGGCTCCCCCCGACATCCCCTGCCCTCCCCGCCTCTCCTCCCTGCATCCCGGGGCACAGCTCTTTGGGTAAGGTCGCCCGCGGCGGTTGAGGATGGTAAAGCAGGGGTAACAGGATGGGGTCCCTGTTGTCCTGCTCCCTCACTGGGTGCCACCATTTTCTCAGCTGTCCTGACATCTCGGTGGGGTTTGCTGTTGCTCCACGGGTGCCACCAGCTATGATCAGCCAGCTCCAACCAGGTGGCACGAGAGCTGCAAAACCAGGCTGCCCTTCTTGAAATCCCAGGGCAGAACTTGGTATCAGCCTTGCACCGGGCGGGGTTTGAAGGAAGGTGACTTACGAGCTCAAGGAAAGGAAAAGCAAGCATCGGAGAAAGTTTTTTTTTTTCTGGAAGTTTAGTAGGATGCCTGAGGCTTTTGTACTGAGCGTCTGGAGCATATGGTGGGATTTGCAGTCAACTTTCTCTCGGGTGCTCCAGCCAGATGGAGGTGACTGTTCTTGGCTCCGGCTGACACGGGTTTGTTTCCTGAAGAGCTTGTGTTAAACATATTCCTTAAAACCAGGCTCCTGCAGTTGGGAGCCCCAGCTGCAGGCAAGGCAGAGCTCCTGCCCACGGCTGCCTTCCGCCGTCTGCGGGGGAACTTGGCCCGCCTTGCCTTGCCCTGCCTTGCCTTGCCTTGCCTTGCCTTGCCTTGCCTTGCCTTGCCTTGCCTTGCCTTGCTTGCCTTACTTGTCTTGCCTTGTCCTGCCTTGCCTTGTCTTGCCTTACTTGTCCTGCCTTGCCTTGCCTTGCCTTGTCTAGCCTTGACTTGTCTAGCCTTGACTTGTCTTGCCTTGCCTTGTCCTGCCTTGCCTTGCCCTGCCTTGCCTTGTCCTGCCTTGGCTTGCCTTACCTTGTCTTGTCTTGCCTTGCCTTGTCTCATCCTGCCTTGCCTTGTCCTGCCTTGCCTCATCCTGCCTTGGCTTGCCTTGGCTTGCCTTACCTTGTCTTCTCTTGCCTTACCTTGTCCTGCCTTACCTTGTCCTGCCTTGCCTTGTCCTGCCTTGCCTTGCCTTGCCCTCTCTCAGGAAAGTGCAGTTGAGTGCTCACCCAGCACTGTGCACTGGAAGGCCACCATGATCTTCCTCTTTCAAGGCACCTGGAGCATCTCTCCTAAAGGCTTCTTCAGAGATGTCTTATTTTTCTGCTGACCACTTGCAAAACTTCCCCCTCCTTTGGTAGAAAGAAATCTCATATCCAATAAAACCAGGCACATCTTTAATTAATCTTCATCTAATTTATTTTAATATTTTCTAATGTCGAAACTGGTAGGCAGGGACAGGTATTTTAAAACACAAGGTGCCTTCCTATCGCTAACTCTAAATTGTCGATATCTCATGGCAGCAATGCTTTGCCTTCTCGTACCATCCTGTATTGTTCTGCCACCCCTAGAGGTCTTGAAAATGTTTTTAAATAGAAAAACGCCCCCATTAGCTGAAAGTATGCAGCCCATAAAACATGATCCATTTGTGGTGAATTACACTGGAAACATAAATTGACACACACAGAGCTATGATTGCTCATGCCATTTTCCATCTTTAATATTTTACAAGAAGTTTGAGGACTCAAGCTCGTGAAAGACAGAGTGGAAATAACCTGATTGTGTGGAAACTCCCCATAGAAGGCATCAGCAGCAGCAAACTTGGGTCGTTGGATGGGCCAGGTTGGGCTTTTAATGTCCCCACAGTATAGAGGGGAGAAAAAAATGAGTTTCCTTTAATGCCATTTTAGCTGTTTGGGGTTGTTTGTTGGGGGTTTTTTGAGGCAACTACAGGAAAGTGAAGAATAACCCCCCCTGTGCAAGGCATCTAGTTTGGGGAGGAAAGAAAACAAAAAAAACAAAAAAAAACCCCAAACAAACAAAAAAAAACCCCAAACAAACAAACAAAAAAACACACAAAAAAAAAAAAAAAAAGAAACTTGAGAGATGATGGGATTTCTCTGGTTGGGGAGAGTGCTGGAGGTGAGAGTGAATTAACTGCAGAGTAGGTCCTGCTCGCCCAGCACGGCGTGTCAGACAGAGCGCTGCTGAGAGGACGCGACGCCGGGGGCACTGGGATGTGGAGGAAGCAGGACTGTGTGCATTTGCCCTCCTCTTGTAACAGCACTAATTAATAACTGCTAAATACACATTTTTTAAGAAAAAGGGGTTGTTCTGTTGGTTGGAGCCCACATGTCATCTCTGCAAAACACTTGTCTCCAACTGCCGTGGTCCATCGGGATCATCTGCTGCTTCCTCTGCAGCGAGGATAACCCGTGCAAAAAAGCAACCGATGCGGCAGGCGTTCCCGGCCGGACCCAGGTCCCAGCCCTGAAACATCTGCAAATATTTACGGAGATAACAATATCCAGAGGGTCTGCGTTTCTGACGGAGCACAGCAGCCGAGCCAGGAGGGGGCCGCGGCAGTTGCAGCCCGGAGCCAGCCTTTCAGATGATGCGGCTCGTTGCTGTTTCGGAAAGGCAAAAAAAAAGAATTTAAAAGAAAAAAAAAAAAAAAAAAAAAGCCCCTTTTGCACGAGCTGGGTGTCTGCAGTCGTGTTATTCAGAAACCTGTGCCGGCAGCAGTAGCACATGGGATGATGCAATGGGAAGGATGCAGGGCGCTGAGCCTGGAGCATCCCAGGGAGCAGCCCTGGGGCGTTGGGGCAGGACCACACTCCGGAGGATGCATTCAGCAGCACAAACAACTGATGCTTTCCGGATCCGATTGCAGTGGGGAGAAGGGGCGGGGGGGGATTTTTCTCTGGTGAAAATGCTGCTGCGTCCTGGTGATGGTTTTTCTACAGTAACCAAACGCTGCTCGCACTGCGCTGCTCTAAGTGCAGACCCAGAGCAGCACCTCCGAGCCCAGCTGGGGTACGTGTAGATGGCCATGTCCCCCACGTGTTGGGTACCTGTTAAGCCCACACGCCAGGGGATAGGAGAGGGAGGACCTCAGGGCTTTAATGACAGAGTTAATAACATCAGGATGGGGTCTGTGTGCTTGTCCAGTGAGTGCCTGGATAACAGTGACCTCCTCCTTGCAGCGCAGCAAGGCAGGCGTTGTGGAGGACCTGTTGACTCTTGCATTGATGGGACTCAAGGGTTGGCCTCTGCGCCTCCTGTTTTTTCCCTTCCACTTGGTTTCATCACTCGTTCACCTCTGCCCGTCTTCCCTACCCAAAATCCTGCAGCTGTGATGTGTAGGAAGGGCTTTGGTGGTGGCCAGACCTCGGTGGGGGTTGCTGTCCTCCATGAACCGGCGGTGGGAGGTGGCTGTGGCCCCTGGTGTGGTTTGCACTTGCACAGTTAGCCACCTCGGAAGCGAAAATAAGTCAAGTTTCATGCGTGGAGGTGACTTCTGCTAAAGGAGGTTGATGCTACAGTTGGATCACAGAGGTCTGTCTTCTCCACTCTGGTGGGACGTGGACGAAGAAGACAGTTGTGTTGGCAAAGCGGGGGTTGTCCTGAGGCAGGAGGGGCAGGGGGCTGATTGCCTTTGGCTCCTGGCAAATAAATGGTGGTGTAAGTGGTGGGACTTCATTTCCCCAGGCACAGTGGCAGGAGCAGAGAGGCTGGCAGGAGGCTGTTGGTTTAGATCCGCTTGGCTCCATCTCGCTGCTGAACTGTACAAATTAAAAAAAAAAAAAAAAAAAAAAAAAAAAAGAGAGAGAAAAAAACCCACCCTCTTACTTTATTTACATTGCACTCAAGTTTCTGCCGTACAAAAGATTTGCAGGTGCAAATATGTCCTGCCTTCATTAACTTCCCCTCCCTTTTTAATTTATGTGATTTCAATTTTCCTTCCCTGTACTGTTAATTAGGGGACCCTCTAATCAGTACCATTATCACAGTGGTATTCATGTTTAGGAAAGCTGCTAAACAAATGCTTGCAAAATTGCTAAATGGCTAATTAATGTCTGTTAATTAAGAAAATTGCTCATGGTAACAAACCATGCCATTGCTGGCAGCAGCTAGAAGGCGAACACTTGTTGAAATTAGTAACGAGGCAGGTAGAAAACATCTGCTCCGGCGCCGGTCCTGGAGCCTGCCATCGCTTCCCATCACCTACTGACAAAGCTTGTTTGCTTTCTCTACCAATTACACCTCCTTTTACTCAAAAAATACTTTTTTAATTTTTCCTTACATTAACACGCACTGGTATATTCTTGCATTGAACTCACGGTTTTTCCAAGCAAATTTTCATTTTGTGCTTTTAAGGGAAATTTAAAAAAAAAAAAAAAAAGGAAAAAGAAAAAGTGGGCGTTCGAGCCCAAAATGTCAGCGGCTGCTGCATTGCAGCCTTAAACCTGCACCAACTAATCTCTCCTTTTTTCCCCTAGACATCCTTTCTTTGCTCGCAAGCCATTTTACTCGCATCCTTAGGGAATCCACCTCGAGGAAGGATGTTGCATCCGCACAGGCTGGCGATGCAGCCCCAGTTGTGCCGGCCAAACGCTGCCCAGGGGCGAGCTGGGACGCGCTCCGCGTCCTCTGCGCTCGCTCCAGCACCTCCAGTGAACCACGGTCCAAATAAAAAAAAAAAAGCCAAAACCCGGAGGTGTTTCCAACCTTCGGGATGAGAGAGGAAAAAAACATATTTTTTTTTGTTTGGGGATGTTTTTTGTATTTCCCCCAACCTCACTGGTCCTCTCCTGCATATTTTTTCTTCCTCGTTGCACGCCCTTGCAAAGTGTCTCCCTCTGTGTTTATCATTGCAGACTTGGTTGAACTACCAGACCGTTTACCGTCAATGTGGCTGCTGTATTTTGACAGATGTTCTGATTTTTAATTTTTTTTTTTTTTGCATATATCATTATTCATTGTTCAGCTACAAATGAATAGAAACTCAATTAAAAAGAGGAAAAAAGACAAAAAAAAAAATTAAAAATGGGAGAACTGACTCCCCGACAAAACAGGTCCACCCGTCAATCCTTTTTTTAGCTCTTTTCTGCGCTTTCATGTGCTAATCTATAACCTCCTTCTACTGTCTGACCTCACAGGGACCGCCTGGGTCACAGCCCTCGCCACACGCACAGCCTCCACCCCACAATCCTAACAGCATGATGGGACCCCACAGTCAGGTAAAGACACTAGTGATGGGTAGGGCTGTGAACCGGGACGTGCGCTCGATTTGCTTTTTTTTTTTTTTTTTTTTTTTTCTTTTTTTTTTTCTTTTTCCTCTATAAGCATGTTGGGCAGCGGGAACCCGCTCCCCTGGGGAGCATCCCCCCGGGCACCCCAGCTGCGAAGCAAATACTGGGGGTTTTTTTCCCTTTTTTTTTTTTTTTTTTTTTTTTTTTTTTTCCGGATGTGCAGTTGTCAATGGACTGAGAGAAGTCAATCATGGGTATCAGAATGTTTTACCTTCCCAAGGTAGCCTGAGAAGTTTAACTTGATGTGGGTTTTTAAGCTTCTGTTAGTAGCAGCAGTTGTAAAAAAGTAACTTTCAGTCTTTCTTCTTTTTTTTTCAGTACTTAGCATTGGGGTTTTTTTTTGTGTGTGCGTGTCTGTATGTGCTTATTTGCCACTTTTTTTAATATATCTCTGTATATTTAAACTTGAACAGTATCTAACACTCAGGGTTTCCCATGCACTAATTTTAACAGCCTCACCTAGTATTGCCGATGTCAAACGCTCTCAAACAATAAATCTCCAGTGAAAATGTTAAAAACAGACTCCGGACATCGTGGGGTTTTTTCTTTTTTTTATTTTGAAACTTAACTTTTTTAAAAAGGATGTCTCCAGAAAAAAAAAAAAAAAAACAAAAAAAAACAACAACAACAACAAAAAAATAGAATACAAACCAAACCCAGTGTGTACAGTCTAACCGGCGCGCGTGGGGAGCGTGCTGCCTCCCCGCAGCTCGGCCCTGACCTCCCTTTTGTGTCCCCGCAGCCGTTCATGTCGCCGCGCTACGCCGGAGGTCCCCGGCCCCCCATCAGGATGGGCAACCAGGTACTGCGCGCCCGGGCTCCCCGCCGACGGGTTTCCTGGGGGGGGGGCTGTTATTTGGGGAGGGGAACGAGGGCCACGTGTCCTGCGGATGCTCCTTGGGTTTGGACAGCAAGCATCGCCTCCCTCGGGCATCCTCCGTTTTCCCGGCGCTGGAGCATCCGTGTCACATAACCGTTTTATTTTAATTTTATTGTGAGGTTCGGGCACATCCAGGGTGTAAATGGCGGCGGGGAATGTGCCGCTTGTCATCGGTGGCGTTCTCAGCACGGCCGTGCCATGCTGCGGGCTCGCTGCCCGGCTGGATTTTCCCTGCAATCGCAGAAAATTAAAGTGATGGAGATAATCCTGCTGCTGGGTTGACCGAGCGCTTAGATCAGCGGTGGGGTCAAGCAGGGCAGGTCACTGCTGAATTTTTTGGGTCGGTTTATCCTCTTATCCTGGCTTAAACAAGGGCAGTTTGTTTCTGGCCTTACGGAGCGAGGCTTCCACCCCACGCGCTGCCTGAACGTGTGGCCTTCGGTTGAGGAATTCATCTCGTTCCCAACGATGCTGTGCAGATCCATAGGGTAATGACTGAGCCAGAGGTTATTTGTCATTAAAGGAAACCTCTAATTCCTTTGAGTAGCAAAGGTGACTGTGCAGAAATAATCGTGGGGGCTTGTTTTTTGGCTAATAATGTTATTTTTATACAGCTCTTAGTGGCAGAAAGAGCAGGATAGTCAGAAATAGGATGTAGCAGGTTGCTTTGTGTTTGTGATTGCTGGATCTGAGACTTGAATCACTGGAACTTGCAAAATGATGGTGAGACAGCTGAGATGTAGCTGAGAAAGGCTCAGGGAAGGCTGATGTAGGATCCCCAAGCCCAGCTGAGCTGGAACAGCCTCCCACCTAGGGCACTGGTGGCTGTTTTAGTGAGGTATTAGTTAACTGCACCTCCTCACAGGACAGTTTTAAGGGGATCCCATCCTGCTGCGGTCCTGGGCTCATCCCGAGCTCCAGTGGAGGTGAGCACAGTGAGCTGGGACAGGCAGGAGAAGCAGGGGAGCGGTTGGGGGAGGCTGCTCTTGTAGCAGAATCCAGCATCCAGGAGTGGGTAAAGTTAATTAGAAGGACTGAATTTTTTTCCCGCCCCAACACCACATATAAAACACAGGTTTGTACCTATGCAGAGCTCGACAAGGTTATGGTCACATCCAGAGGGATAATAGGAATAAATAGGCAGGCAGGAAGGTCAGGGAGCAGAAGTGTAAATATCCATCACTACAGCCTCCTTAGTTCATCGTCTTCCTGCTGCCAGCTTCCAAGCTGCAAAAAAAAAATGGGGACTGGGCAGATTCTGCCTGGGCACGGCCCACGGTGCTCCAGCAGTGGGGTCCATCTCCAGCAGTGGGGTCCATCTCCAGCAGTGGGGTCCATCGTGTGTGTCGGCATTCAAATAAAAGGCAGCGCTGCAGCAAAACTGTTTACAGTTTGCTTCCCCCCCAGGCAGATGATATCTGTGTTTTTCTCCCCCCTTTATCTGTTCAGAGCCGCCTTTGAACTTTAAATAGCCGAGTGTGGGTTTGGGAGGAGGGAAGCATCCGTCTTCCTGCGTGGGGGTGGGTCCAAACGCTGCTCTGCTGGGAGGGGAGCATCTCCCCACTGGCAGCCGATGAATCCGGCTTGGTCCTGGTGCTGTGTAAATACCGGGGAGCCGCGCTGCCCGCCTCCTTTCCCTGTTTTGATACCTCTGCCCTGTGCAGCCCGGGCTTTCCCCAGCCGCCCTAAAATACAGCAGCCTGGTGGTGTGCAGGCTGCGGGGAGGGGAGTTAACTCTGGCACCTTGTTTGGTTTTTGGAGGGCGTTTGTGAAAGGAAAGGGGAGATAAATGCCCGGAGGCTGTAGGACGATGCAGCGGGATACGGGATGCAGGTCGTGCCGCGATGGCCGAGGAGCCCCCTGAAAGCCTAAAGCCTCAACCAAAACCTATCTGTAGGCTGCCTGTTAGCAGTCAGTGTGTTTTTTAATCTTCCTCCCCTTGTTTTCACAGCCCCCGGGTGCTGTTCCCGGTACACAGCCGTTGCTGCCCAATTCGATGGATCCCACGCGACAGCAAGGTAAACCCAGCGGAGGAGGGTTGAACATTAATGCTTCTCGTTAGCTGTTGGTTTGGGGACTCAGAGTGGCTGCTGTGTCACGTAACACCCCTGTTTTCCTCCCAACAGGGCACCCTAACATGGGCGGCCCCATGCAAAGGATGAATCCTCCGCGAGGGATGGGCCCCATGGGTCCCGGTCCGCAGGTAAGCCCAGCACCAAAGAGCATCTTAGGGCTTGGCAAACGCCGAGCACCATCGAAACAACCTCCTGGGGCTCAGAGGGCTGGGAGTTCCCCCCCACACACCCTGTCCCCCCCCCCCATTAGTGTTAATGTGTTTTACATTAGTCTTGCGTCTGGAAATCCCTCCTTTTAACACGAGTGAGGTCTTCAGAGCTCATTAAGGGTATTGCAACCTCCCTCCTGCCCTCCCGTCAAAGGGGATGGCACTTAGCGCCGCGCCAGAGTAACCTTTGAGTGCATTACACTGCCTGCCTGGGAAATGGTTATGACCCTAACAGTGGGAAAGGGAAAGGAGGCTTGCATTAAAAATAAATAAATAAAAATAAATGGCAAAGATCCCTTTAGCAGGGGAATAAGGCTTTCCTCTGTGAGGTTCCCCTCCTCCTGCCCTTCCTGCTGCCTGCTTGAGCTCCCTATTTCAGGAAAGGGGAGTAAACTCCTGAAATTAAGCAGATCTGGGTTAATATATGCTGTCTCTCCGTCGATTCACTTTACAGAGTGGCTTGTTGTTGACTCACTCCTGTTTGTTCCTTCTACGAGACTTCAAAACCAGATTACCATATTTTGGTTGGAGGTTTATCCTCTCTGCATCGTCGCCTACGTCAAGTTTGTAGCGCGAGGATCAGAGTCTGTCAAGAGATGAGCAGGCACGCCGGAGTTTTGTTTTGTTTTTCCCCCAGAGACTGTTGTGATAAGCGAGTATTGTGTAAAGAGGGAGTTGTGTCATCTCCTTTTTAACACCAGCCTGAGGATGCTGCTCAGGGGTGCCCGGCCGACTCTGCAGGCACCCGGATCCACCCTGGGGCAGGGAATAAAAAACCTGCACGAGCACCGTTTCGCGGAGAAGCCCTCCGATAGCGCCGCCGCTCTGCTTAGAATCCTTCTTTCCTGGAGGATTGCACCCAAAAAAGAAAAAAAAAAAAAAAAAATAAAAAATGGCATTTGTTAGCGTGGCCTGCGCCAAGGCGAGTGGCGGCACTTTGCCTGGGGGAGGCTGCTCGCTTCCCACTTGCAAAGCTCTCCGTGAAACTTGGAAGCCGCGAGCGCGCGTTCAGTGCCGCGTGGGCTGCGGCGGCTCTGGGAGCCGGCAGGAGTTGTGAAATGTTCAGAGCTTTATTTTTGACTCCGCCGTTCCCTGTGTATGTACATTAGGGAGAGGGTTTTTTTTTTTTTTTTTAAAAGGCAGCCTTCCCCTGGAGAAGGCGCTGGGCTTCCCAATCTGGCTCCTGCGGGGCGCTGCCTCCCCGCAGCCGTCCAGGAACCAGCGCCTGTGCTGACAACCACCAAAAATATCGAACCAAACCCAGCAGCCCCTCACCCCTCGCATGCCCAGGGCTTTGATTTCTTTAAGCTTTGCATCAGGACCTCCCCAAATACTCCTTAAATTATTCCAAAGGGCTGCAGAGCATCCAGCCAGGACACCCCAGCGTCCTGACAACAGCTACTTATTACGCACTGATGATGAATCATCCCTTACAGCCGATGGCCGCTGCCTTTTTCTCTTTAATAATCGCAGTTTTAGCTCTGCAGAGGCCGGGATTAGGTTTGCCAGTACCTCTACGAAGAGGGTTTGTAGCTCGCTGGGTTTCGGCAGTGCCTTGCTGGAGCCCAGCACCCAGGTCGCTCGGCACAGCTGCGTTCCCTCCCCACCCTCCCTGAGCATCTTTCAGATGGCTTCGTTTTCCAGCCTTTCAGCTCCAATTAAAAACGCTGAGCTTTTTTTTTTTTTTTTTTTTTAAACAAGGGGGTTTGATGCTGCTATTCAGTGTAAATGGCTGGATTTCAATCAATTAAGGACTTGCCAGTAATTTGTTTGGGGAAAACCCTTTTCTGCCTCTTCAAAACAAACTTTGGCGATGCCCTCAGCAGAGCATCGTGCTCCAGTGCGTCCATAATTGCAGGGGAAAATGGACGGCACTGAAGTATTGCATTTAAAATCCATCTTGGAGCACTGTGAGGGGCTGCGAAATAGGAAGCAGCCAGCCGTCCCCCCTCCTGCCCTAGCCATTTTTTCTCTAAATGGCAGAAATACAGCCCAAAAAGATGCATCATGGGGGGAAGGTGGGAGGGGACTAGCAGCAGCAGCACGACCTAAATCCGGCTGCACGTTGCCCGGAGGGCGCGGGGAGCAAAGCGCAGACCAAATGGAGCGTGGCATTCGGGGGATTCCTCTTCCTTCACTGCCTTGGGCTTGGCTTTGTACTAGAGCTGGTTTTAGGAGATGGCGGGACGCAGATCTGAGGCTCCCGGTCCCAGCTGGAGGCTAAGCCGGGGTGGAATAAGTCAGGAGAGGAGCCCCCAGGGGCTGCCTGCCCTCGCCTGCTCCCCGCAGCTCCGGGGGATGTAGCAGAGAGCAGGGGAGCAACGGGAGAACAAGCCTGGCTTGGTTTTCCCTACTCCAGCCATCATCCTGGGAGTAGGGGATGCTCCATCTTGGGGGGAGCTTGTGCAGCCTGCCGTCCTCACGCCGCAGCAATAACCTTCCAAGCGGTGCCGCCTTTGCTCCTCCTGCTCCTGTTTTCTCCTGCACAAAAAGACAAACCCAAAAGGCTGTTGTTGGCGCCCCGGGGGCTGTGAGCAGATTTGTCTCCCGGAGCTGGGAGGGGGGACTTTGGGGCTCAGCCTGGCTCCCTTCCATATTCAGCTGCCTGGGTTTTTTATAAACACAATTGCTAATTGCCTCTACATTCATCATCATCTAATTTTTTTTTTTTTTTTAAGCTCATTTTTGCAAACTAACCCTGTTGGTTTTTTGTTTGTTGGGTTTGTTTTTTTTTTTTCTTTTTTTCCTTTCTCTTGTCTTCTCCGGTTTCCCTTCCCGTTACGGTAGACTGACCCTTGGTTATCGTTGCAGAACTACGGCAGCGGCATGAGACCTCCACCCAACTCCCTAGGTCCCGGCATGCCTGGAATTAACATGTAAGGCAAACCCCGCACCGGGGATGTCTGGCCGCAGACTCGGGCTTTGTGGGACCGCATGGAGAAAAACAAAACTTTTTTTTTTTTTTTTTTTTTTTTTCCCTGTTTAATTTTGACCCCAGGGGGCCGGGAGCCGGCAGACCGTGGCCGAACCCCAGCAGTGCTAACTCAGTGAGTATCCCGCGGTCCCTGAAGCAGGAGAGGGGCTGGTTGGGGACCATCCTGCAAATGAAGCCAGTCCCTATTAGCTGAATCCTGCTAACGAGAGGGGGTGCCCCAGCTTCTCGTTTAGGCGCTGCGTCTAAAGCCTAAGCCCTGTTCCCCTGCTGCTCTCCCTGCGGTGGGGTGCAGCTGGGGGGCCCTGAGACCCCCGCCCTGGCCAAGCAGGGGGGTCAGCGGGGGCTCTTGGCTGTGCCCTGCTGGGGTCCAGCCTGCAGGAGCCCCTGTGCACCCCAAAACTGAACCTGGCTCTCTTCTCTCTATAGATCCCATACTCTTCTTCATCGCCTGGTACATACGTGGTGAGTCCTGCTCCATCTCTCCGTCCCATCGTTGGGGGTGCAGAGGTTTTACGGGAGCTCACACAGGTTTTTTGGGGGGGGGGAATCAGTGCTGGAGGTGGGGGGGAGCCAGTCTGGGTGTGGGGGTGCGAGGTCCAGCTGGGGGAGGCGTTTGAAAAGGTGGGGAGGCGGGCGATGCTCGTGTTGGCGCGGCTGACCCCCGCTTCGTTTCTCCGCAGGGTCCGCCCGGCGGCGGTGGTCCTCCGGGGACACCCATCATGCCCAGTCCCGCAGGTATGAGCCCCCCCCCCGGACCCCCCTTCCCAGGCTCCTGCCCCTTCCCCTGCCAGAAAACCCCTGCCCCACCGGCAATAACCGATTTATGCGGCTTTTGCCTTTCCGGGGAGCGAGCGGCGTGGGCTGCTTGGCTTTGGGATGGTGTTTGGGGATGTTCCTAGATATCCCCCTGTGGATTTGGATGCTGTGGGGCTCGGGGAGGTGAGGAGTGCTACACAGTGGGGAATTAACCTCCCCACGCTTCCCAGCCAGAAGCTGAATTATTTTTCACAGTTGAATTTCTGTGATTAAAAACTTTGTGGATCTTCATTAAATACAAATTAGCCAGAAAATGGTGGTACTTAGAGGGAATTTTAGGTGATAAAATACAAAAGAATGAGTTCAAGTGGCATGAGTTTGTTTTAATTAAGAAATGAATTAATCACCCGACTTACTGGGTTTCACTGTTCCACAGATTCAACAAATTCAAGTGACAACATCTACACAATGATTAATCCAGTACCGCCCGCAGGCAGTCGATCGAATGTAAGTCTGCTTTCTAATAATTTACATATCAGATACCATAACAAATCATAATTAACTTCATCAGTTGAGAGTAAAGCAGTTTAATTGATTTCAGCCATTTGTTACAAAACAGAAATAAAACAAACCATCAAAAAGCGATTAACTCTTCGGCAACTTTGTTAATTTTTTATGCTTATTAGAGAGCGGCAGTCGTGCTGCTCCGGCCAAGGTGGTGGCAGCTGCGTGCCCGCCGAGACGCTGCGTTTTGCGGGATACAGATTTAAATCTCATTAAATGCTGGTGGGAGGGAGCCCGGGGTCTGGGTGTGCCCGCACCCATCTGGCCAAATTTTATAGGTGAACCCGCAGGACCGTGAGCCCCGAGATGTGCCCCGCAGCCTCAGGGGGGGGGGTGGGTACGTCCCTCTTCCCGCCCTGCTCCAGAGGGGTGGCTGGGGAGGGGACGGTCCCCAGGAGCCCGTGGCAGAGGTTTGGTGGCTGATTTTTGGTTTTGTCACTATTTTCTTCTGCAGTTCCCGATGGGCCCCGGCTCCGACGGCCCCATGGGCGGCATGGGCGGCATGGAGCCCCATCACATGAACGGATCGTTAGGTGAGCGCCCGCGCGGGGGGCACCGTGGAGACATCCCAGTGCTTGCTCCCATCCCGGGGTCACCCCCCAGTTCGGGCCAGTGCTTGAAGCAGAGAGTTTGGCTGGAAATCAGAAGGGGGGTGCCTGGCGGGGGGCGGCGTGGGGACCATCGCTGCAGGTTCAATAAGGCTCTTCTCCTTTTGTGTGTCCCCCCTGTGCAGGGTCAGGAGACATAGATGGACTTCCAAAAGTAAGTGAGCTGCAGAGTGGGGGTGTGGGCCCCCCTTTTCTCGGCACTGGGGTGCCGGTGTGACCCCGATGGATGGGGGACACATCGAGGGGGTGTGGGGAGATGTGACAGGGGCACATCCTGCATCCTTGCCCCCCACGGCGTTTCAGGGGGACGTGGGGACCTTCTCACCACCTCCCCCCACCGTCTCCCACAGAATTCTCCAAACAACATAAGTGGCATTAGCAATCCCCCGGGCACTCCAAGAGACGACGGGGAGCTGGGAGGCAACTTTCTCCATTCCTTCCAAAATGACAATGTGAGTGAGTGCCTCCCTGGGGACGGTCCCGGGGCCGGGGAGGGGGGGGGGGGGGCATCCCACCACAGGGGCGGGTGGGCTTGGCAGTGGGTGCTTTTTGGACCTGGGTTGTGCTGTGTGTGAGCTGCTCCGGGACAGAAAGCAGGGAGGAAGAAATACCGGTGGGTGCAAGCTTGGGTCCTCGGTGAGATGGGGTTGTACGGAGGGAAGGGAGAGAATCCCGCAGGATGGGGAGGAGCCGGTGCAGATGCAGCCAGCTGTGCTGGCCTGGCTGATTCAAGGTGCTGTGCGTGGCTGCAGACAGCCCTCCTCTTCTTCCTCTATTAGCAGCGTGCCCACACACGTGCATGCTAATTGTTTTAAATCGCATCTCACCCCATACTGTTCTGCTGGTTTTCTCGGTGGAAAAGCAAGTTACAGAGCAGATTATGCCCTGGTAAATTCGAGTCTCCAGCATATCCTTTCCTCCTGATTTATTAGATCCAATTAGGTTGCTGTATAGTTGTCACCAGCCTCCTTTTGCCACCCCCCTTCGGTGTCTGGGGGTCTGGCCCGCCTGGTTTCTCACCCTGGCTCTGTCTCTCTTCCAGTATTCCCCCAGCATGACGATGAGTGTGTGATTTCCCTCCCCCTCCTCCTCTCCAGGATCAAGAGAGTCAGCTGCCGTTCGGAGGATCTCAACGACTTATGCAAGAAGAAGAAGAAGAAGAAGCTAGGTGTATGGGCAGGGAGACGCGTGGCGGGGGCCAAAACCCCAGGTTTAGTTTCATGCAATAAAAAGGCTGAACTTTTTATTCCATAAAACATGAAGGACAAAACTTAAAATATTTCAAGACATGACAAGACCCTTCTTTGTGCAGAAGGGTTTATATATGTACATGACACTTCTTTTTGGAAACAAACGGAAGCCTCTAGCACCCAACTCCGATCTCTTTGCTTTGTTCTTTTAAATAAAGACAGAAACCGAACCTGTTGTATGTTTGTGCCGTGCGACACCAGGAAGCTAGTCTAGATATGAAATCTCATGTTGTCTCTGTTGTAGTCATTTTTTTAAATAAACTGGACAGTTTACAATGGTGGTTTTCGTTCAGAAGGCCTGTTTTTGGTTGGGTGTTTTGTTTTGTTTTTTTTTGGTTTTGGGGTTTTTTTCCCTTCTATTTTTGGGGTTTTTTTGGTTCGTTTGCAGCACAACGCTTCCTCCTCCAGTTAACAAGATCTGCTTTGGGGAAGAGACTCCACCACCTCGTTATAAACTTATTAACGCAGGTGACCCCTTCTAGGATCACATCCTCGTGATCTTGCTCTCTGTGACTGTGGCATGCACTGTGTTAGTCTTCCCCCCACCCCCGAGTACAAGAAGAAATCTCTGTCCCTCCCTTCCCCAGAGTCCTTCAGCTGGTTCACTGCAAAAATTGAATTTTTAATTTTTTTTTTTTTAATCTACCGAAAGAAAGGGTTAATCTGACCTGGGACTTTGAAACTGTGATCTCCAGCTAACTTTGGGGTTCTTTTTTTTTTTGGGGGGGGGGGGTGAGGGGACGTTATTTGCTTTGGGGGTGTTTTGGGGGGTTTCTTTTCTTTAGAGATGTGCTCTTGTCAGGGTTTCACTTATCTATGATTTGGAACTGGATGGAGATATTTTTTAAGGAATTCTTGTTGTTAAAATGTAACCTTGCTATTCTGTAGGCTCGCTCTGTAATAAGAAAATAAAAATTACTGGCAAGCATCGAAGGCCCTTCCTTCTGGCGGGAGAGGAAGGGACGAGCCAAGGCGGCGGGTTGGGATCTCTGTACATGACACTACCCTGTAGTTTGGTCTTTGTTTTTCTCCAGCTCCCATTTCTGCTCCATGTATATCATATTCTGTAAAATATTCTCTCCCCTGGATTTGACCTTTGTGCGGATTATTGAAAGCATTGTATCTTGTTTCAGTGTTTTTTCTTACCTTGTAGTCTGGTTCGAAAATTACCGAGGGGAAAAAAAATAATTATTATACATTGTAGTTTGTGTACGATATTTGTTGATAATGTTTTATTAAAGGGATGTCTTTTTTCCGCACCCCTTCATTGAAATGCTTTTGGGGAACATTTGGCTTGTTTTGATTATTCTGACTGCAAGACATGAGATGACAAAACTTTTTTTTAGTGTGTAATACGAATTTTTTTTTTTTTTTTAATGTTTGCCTTCTTTTTCCTAGGCATTTTAATTGTGCTTTACCTGTAGAAAGTTGCTGGGGAGGGAGGGGCGGGTGGAATGGGGTGGTTCTGAGGGTGTCAGTCTCATAGTTACAGTCAGGTTAATATTTTCCAATGAATGCTGAGAAATAACTGAATGCAGATTTGTTGCATTGCAGATATACCCGGGGGCTCCCCAAAGGGTCAACCTCTTTTCCACTTTACATCTTGTTCAAGTTTGGTTTGGGGATTTTTTTTTCCTCTTTTTTTTTTTTGTTGTTGTTTGTTTTGTTCTGACGTGAGGAAATGAAAGGACCGGTTTTAATGTATTTTAAAATGAATAGCTAAATTATTGTCTTCATTGGTATGGGATGGTTTTTTTTGAATGAAACGGTTCTTCCCCCTTCTCTCCCCGCCCCCCCCCCCCCCCCCCCCATGCTGTAATAAATATCAACATAAACATTTGATTTCAGTGCTCTGCAGTTTGTTCCTAGCATTTGCTGCCAGACCCGGAGGAGGGGGGAGTATTTTTTTTCAACCTGTATCTGTCGAAGCCCAAACCCCAGGTTTGGGGTGCAGGAGCGGAGGTGATGCAGAGCTGAGAGGTGGCCAGTGCTGGGCGAGTCTGGCTGAGGCTGGGAAAGTGGATTTGGCTGCAGTGCAGGACCCAGGAGGTGTTTTGGGGGTTACTTTTTTTTTTTAAGTGGGTTGAAAATTCAGTTTTTAGTCTACGAAAATGGTCATTCTTGCCTGCACCGGGCTGAGGATGCCTTCCTCATCCCTGCACCCAGCCCGCTTGGCCACAGGCAGAGGGGGGGGCTTTCTGGGGTTAAAAAAGCGTGGGATTTTTTTGCACCCTGTACCCCAGGGTTTTCCCGGTAGAGGTGGGAGGAGCTGGGATGCGGTGATGCAGGCTGGCATCCCATGCGGCAGGTTACAGATCAGGGATGCTCTGGGAGAGGAGCTGGGTCCTGCTCCCTCCTGTTGCTGGAGTCCTGCACTGCTGGGAGGTAAGCAAGGGTGGGAAAGGACGTGAAAAAAAAAAAAAAAAAAAAAAAAACCAAAACTGTATATATATACACACATAAATAGGCCTGCAGTGGGGCCTCCCAAGCCCCTCCCTGGGCAAGGGTGGGTGCACTCACCTTTGCAGGATCAAACCCAGCTCCAGGCTCTGAACCAGCTGCTGGAGATGGAGAAACCCGGGTGAGGCTGCCCCGGCTCCTGCGGCTGCAGAGAAATTGGGGCTTTTTTGGTTTTTAGATGGGTGGTTGCAAGTGCCCGAAAGGCTCCCGGGAGCTGCTGTCTGAGGCTTGTTCTTCGCTTTTGACTAGTTCGGGCAGGACGTGGCTGGCTGCCATGGCGCAGCTCCTCTCCCTCCTTGCAGGAACATTCAGGTGGGGGCTGCGGGGGGGCTGCGAGCCACCCCGGAGCTCTGCTGGTCCTGGGAGACGCTTCCACCCAACACCCACAGCCAGGTCACTGCTGCCGTTCCAGGAGTGAGTGCCAGGCGGTCACGGATGCTCGTGGAGTGGAAGGGCGAGCCGGGGGGGACACACCTGGATGGCTGCTGGGTTTGGGAACCACCCAGAAAAATCATCGTGCCTGCAGAGCCCTTAGCTTGTAATTAACAGCGGGGCCGAGGAGCCGCGTGTGTTCACACCCTGTGCAGGTTTGCTGCTGGGTTACCACCACAGATCTCCTTGTGCAGGGTCTGCAGCCATGCCCTGGTGTGGTTTTTGGTCCAGGCAAACACATCCTTCTGTGCTTTGCAAAAAGTAGTTCGTGAGCATTGGAAACACGACCCCTCAAGGGTAATTAGCTGACGCTGATGAGGACCTCCTACCCTCCTGGCTCCCTGGGGCCATCCCTGCCCACCCTGTCCAGCCAGGCTGCCCCTCGTGTCTTTTTGTGGGGTGTAGAAAAGCCCTTCTTGTTGGTTCTTCCTGGATTACAGGCTAATTTTATTAAACAGCACCACAAGAAACTGCCAAGTTCCCTCCTTTAAATGTCTCCTGAGCCCAACCTTAGGGATAATTGTCTCCCTGCCTTAGTTTTCATTAAATTAAATGTGGGAGGAGGATCTGAACAACCAGGGGCTCTGGTCTGAGCACATCGTGTACTTTCTGGCACGATGAGCGCAGCCCATGGAGTTGGATTTTGCACTGGGAGCGGTTCAGAAGGTGGAGCCTGGACAGCACAGTGTGCATCATCCCCAGGGCAGGCGGGGGCCAGATCCTGCCCCACTGGCAGCCCGGCACCACCAGGTCCTCACCCCACACTCCTGCCACCCTGTTTGCGCATGTTCTGCTTCCCTGGCTGCCGCTCATCAAAAGTTAATGCCTGGCTCTTGGTCCGGGCTGAGGTAATGCCATTCATCTGCTGACGAGCCTTTGTAACTTATTGATGCCAACCCAGATGTGCCTCTGTGACCCACTGTCCTGCTCCCCCTCCCACCTCCCTCAGCTGGGCTAATTCCAGCAGGTCTCGCTGGAGGAAGGAGCGGCTGAACCGAACCCTGTGCAGGGAGTTTGGGCAGACCAGGGGGACAGCACACCCGTGCCCACAGGCCGGCCGGTTCACCCACCTCGTACCTGCACCACAACGGACCAACCTGAGCCTCCATCCCCAGGGCCGGAGCTGGGAGCCCCGCTCTGCCCCCCTCGAGTTCCCCTCCTGGACCTCTGAGGAGCTCACCCAGCACGAGGATCAGCTGCTCCTTCCAGCAACGCACAAGTATTGCTTCCCTCCTCACCACAGGCGAGATCAGCTGTGCCCTCAGCAACCCAGGGACATGGTCTTACATGCTTGCACGTTCCCCTCATCTCGGGTGGCTTCCTGCTGCCTCCTGTAACCCACTGAGGCCTCACAGCCCTGCCGACTATCCCATGCCTTACCGCTTCTGCCGTTTTCCAAAACTGCCTTCGCCCACCTCTCCCCGTGCTCACGCTTTGTCTCTGCTCACTCTTGGAGACAGCAGGACTCCAGCTTCACTTACGTTTCTCCTCTCCTACCGCCTGACACAGACGTCTTCACTGAGGGGCATCTAAAGGGTCTTTGTCTCTTTCCCACGTAAGACCATCTTCACAGACTCCCGTATCTAGTAGAAGCATGCAAGGTGTTTCATTTCTCCACGCCCTTCCTCCACCGCAGCTGCTCTTCTACCAGGTTTCCTTAGGGAAACTGCTCCACTCAGGGCTGTTAACACAGCAGCTGCCTGCCCTGCAGAGGTTTCCTCCTTGAGACCAGTAACAACCCAAAGCTGGAGGTGTGAGGGGATGCCAGCAGTCCAGGGGCTGTGGCCTGGAACTGTTCAGCAGGATCCATGTGCCATAGCAGAGAGCCACAGCCTGAGAAAGAAACACCTACCAGAACAGGCTCCACACAGCACGAGTGCATTAAAATATATTCCTGAACAACTTGGTGAAAATTACAGATGTGAGCAGATTTAAATCGATGTGCTGAATTAGACATCCCTTGAGCAGGCAGAATTAGCATGATTTAGATCAATGCAACACTTACTAGATTATTTCTCTTTCAAGCATTTTCTTCTAACTATTGAGGGATTTGCTAATTTAACTTAGAGCCAATGCATCCCCATTTACCAGGTGCAACTGTTGATGTCAAATTCAACTAGTGAAAAATCTGTTTTCTAAAACCTGCAGAGTAGAGCTGTCTGATGGATTGAGACTGGAACACACAACTGGGGTGTTCATCCAGATAGTCAGAGAAGATCACAAAGCACAGACCAGTTTCTGACACAAGACACTGAAGTGAGATGAATTTCTTGGAAATATGCTCTTCCACACCTTAAAATAGCACAGGCTGTCCTATTCCTTCCCATGTGCTGGAGGGTATCAGTGCAGAACTGCAAAACATTCCACATTTGGCTGGAGCTAATTTAGCTTTCATTTTACAAAAACCACACTAATCCCCCCATCTTAAAAAGAATACGCTTCCTGCTCAGTTAACTCTGTGTGGCAAGAAGAAATTCTTCCTTTGTATTTTAGCAGCAAATACCAGCTACCAGGCTCCAAAGTTTCATGCTACATTCTACACTACTTTCCCAAAATGGATAGGTCTCTTCATCCAGGATTGGGGGATAAAAGAATTGCGGTTCTATTGATCAAACAAAGCAATCTCACCGATTAAGTGCTTTGGGAACTAAGCGCAGGGCAGCACGACACATCCCAAAGCAGCCAGGAGTAAAACAAAGTAAAAGCCAGGCAGAATGAAAAAGGCTCACGTCTCAGGCTCCCCCCTTGAAGCTTTGTAAATCTCTTCCACATACACTGCATTCAGAGGTACTCAAAGCAACCTCAGAAAATAGGTTTGAGTCTAGCTCTGTGCAAAAGCACACCGAGAGCAGAACCTGCGCAGAGGAATAATGACTGGCTTATGTTCTTTCTAAGCAACGGTGGAAGAGTGCAGGAGGATGCATTTGATGACTCTCTCTAACCCGAATCCAGAGGTGAGCCCCTAAAATGAAAGAGCTTCTTCGTGCACAATTTAGTTTTAAAAAAAATTTTTTTTTACTTTCAGTAACAATATAA